TTCCTTCCTTCCTTCCTTCCTTCCTTCCTTCCTTCCTTCCTTCCTTCCTTCCTCCACCCAACTTTATATTATTATTGTAAGAAAAGAAGGAATATTAAGCATAATTCCTTGACATCCTGAAGGACAGGAGTTGAGCTGCAGAGCAACTCATTGGGGATACCTGGAATATGTGTCTGATAAATAATCAGTTTCTACAAAGAACATTTATTTAACTGTGTTATCTTCCTACTGTTATATCTATTGTTGTAAGCATGATATTTCAAGGTTCAAGTTTTTAGCCATTCTTTATATAACTCATTAGATACCAAACTGTAATATAAATCTATCTGCAAATTATGTACACTTAAATACATCATGACACTCCTTTTATTATCAAAGGAGAAATTCAGTATACAATGAATAAGGAAGCGAAACAAAAGACACAACAAGAAACAGATTCATGGGGGGGGGGGGGGGGGGGAGAGAAAGAGAAGAGACAGAGCGGCATTCTATGTTTATCATTACTTACTTACTTACACCTGAATGGGAAAATCATCAAGAGAAGGATGATTCTTATAGGAAATCTCTGGAGAGGAAATATAGATTAATTGAGAACCAATTCCACCAATGAGGAAGTTACCTGGCTGATACCACTCATGTGGAATGTGTATGGAATTACTAATTAGACATTTTGTGGTATCCAATTTGCATGCCAAATGAGGCAATATGAATAGGAATAACACTGGCCCGAACATCTGGACAGCAAAACATCTGTGTAGATATAGTCTGCCTTGTGCTCCTCAACAGATGTTAAATGAGAGTGCCAACAGATTTGGAAGGAGAATTGCCTCATTTGTATTGATTTCTTTAGCTTTGCTTTGCAGTGGAAACATGATGCCTGCAATAAGACAAATTCTTTCTCTCTGGCACCTCAGTGGTATTGTATTGTGTGTATGTATATATATTCACACACATGCACGCATATAGATAGACACTTGCTTATTAAATTTACTTCTTGAACACCAATTATGCTTATTAAGATAATTACAGGGGAGATAATTACTTCTGTATAGGTTGGGATTTGCCTACTATTATTGTTAGCAAATACTAGTAAGATTCTTTTTCTCTGAAGTTTTGTTCATCAGCTTTATGCTATAAGCCTCTATCTCAGCCTTCCCATTGAGGTGCCCTCCAATCCAACTCAAAGAAATCTTGGAAATGTCTGTTACAAACCAAGATAATAAATAACAATAAAAAATGAATGAATGAATGAATGAATGAATGAATGAATGAATGAATAAATAAATAAATAAATAAATAAATAATTATCCCAGGCCTTTGGGAAGGACTCGATAGGTGGATAAAAATGCCAAATCCAATCTAAATATCTGGCTGACTGTGAGACCAATCACCATCATCATCATCATCATTGAAATGAGCCATAACGTAATGATGCAAACCCTACACTTTCATACTTATATCGGATGCAAGTATGTAAGTCATGAGGCTGTGGTTGTACTGTCACTATAAATGTTTCATAATTTACCTCCCTTGCCCTGCCCATGGGTGCAAATCCATTGACATGCTCTTTGAAGTTAGGGTGTTGACTAAATAAGTTGTGGGGAAAACATATTAGGAAAAGCTGCTCTGAGTACCCTACCCTTTGCCTTGAAACTACATCTGCTATAGTATTTTAAAAAGTGCTTAGAACAAAGCATAGGTAGCTGATGTTAGGATTCTTTTTGGAAAGTCCCTAAAAAGGAAGAGTTTGCCTGCAAGGAAATGTTTCACCTGCCTGAGATCTGTCACCAACCAACCCCCACCCTCAAAAAAAAAAAAAAAATGCTTTCCTTAAGCTTAACATATGCCTAGATTTGATGTGGGAAATTTATTTCAAGCTGAGAGTCACATTTTCAAGGTGGGCAGCTATAACAAATTTAATAATAACAATAACAATAACAATAACAATAATAATGTCACATAACTTTATACTGAAAGTCAAACTATTTTCCAACAATGGGTGAATCAAGCTACTTATCTAAGCAGCAGATGTCATTTGAACAGACATTCCAGCTCATGATCAAACTATATTGCAGATGGCTACATAATGATCATAAGCCATGTCAGTGAACAAACCAAGTTCATCTCCAACAAATGCGACAACCAAGACCTGTGTAACACATAGAGCAAGAGAAATCACTTTGGTTTTTGTAACTGAAATAGTTATAGATTTAGGAAACATAGCACAGATGTAGCAAACATCTAAAAATGATAGAATGACTGAAAAGAACTGCATGGATCTGTGAAGATGGTGATAAAAGTACAGTATAAAAGTACTCTAAATAAATATATTTGTCTTTTCTGACAATAGAAAGAGCTGCTTCAGTCACCTATTAACATTGTTCTATTCATTGCCTTCTCATTGCTCTTCTTATTGCCTTTGAAGCCCAGAATATCTTACCTGTGGCAGTACCGGTAGAACAGTTGGTGACACATTTCACAATGGAAGATGAAATCACACTAGACTGGCTAAGGATGGAAGCATACACTGAGTAGCCAGTATGACTGTGATCATGGTATGGTTTACAGAAACAGTGGATAGCATTTATAAAAGTTTATAATACAAGCAGTCAAAGATCAGAGAGAAAGCAACGTTCTGATGTTGCAGGAGATATAATGTCATAAATTATGCATTAACATGCTTACAATCATATAATATGCAACGTTAGGACAGAAGAATTTTAGAGTTAAATCTCTCTGTCTCTCCTTCTCTGTCTCTCTCTGTCTCTCTCTGTCTCTATCTCTGTCTCTCTCTCTCTCATGAATTATTCTGAAATTTCCTCCTGCCATTCCCATAATCTCTGTGGAATATATGGACCTTTGTCCAGCATTTGCCCCTTTTGTGAAATCTGGGTTACTTTCTATACACTGTCTACCCGTTGCAAAACCTTTATTTATTTTGCTGGGTATACTTCACCGTTTGCAAAGAAAATACATGGAAAATGGAAAGAAAGCACTACACCATTTATTTAATTACTTATTTAAAGTCAAACATTGGTAATAATGGCATCATTGGAAATTGCCATGGACCATCTTCTAGACCAATCTCCCCCACAGAAGTTCTACCAGCCCCACTCAGCTATATAGTTAGGAGTTTCTTTCATGGCACTATAAGAATGTTCACATTCACCCCATGAAATCTTTTAATTTATGTGGTATCTTCTGCACAGCTCCTTGGATATCCTTATTCCTCAAGCTGTAAATTATGG